TATATATGTAAAACCACTGGATTCTATACCCTTGGGATGAACAATGTGAAAGTAAGAAAACAGGGCAATCTACAGTAACATAAAAACAAACAAACAAAAAACACCGAAAACCACAAAAATACTATTGAAATGAAAGACCTCATTAAATGGAAAGACATACTATGTTCATGGATATGAAATTTAATATTAAGCTCCCAATACTCTTACATTCATCTACAGAATCAATACAATCACCACACCAGTTTGCTTTTATTTTGCAACTGACAAACTAATCATAAAATTCACAGGAAAACAATCTTTAAAAAGAGAACAAAATTGAAAGGCTCACTATTCTCAATTTCAAAATTTACTACAAAGCTACAGTAATCAAGACAGTGTGATATTGGCGTAAAGTCAAACATATAATCAGTGGAACAGAATTCTGAAAACTCTGAAAAAGATCTATATTTCTCCAGCAAATTTTTCAAAAGGGTGCCAAGACAAACCACAAAATATTCTCTTCAACAAATGCTTCTAGGACAACTGGAAGTCACACACACACACACACACACACACACACACACACACACACAGAGAGAGAGAGAGAAAGAATGAGCCTGGATAAACAATAAAAAGACAAATAGTCCAATTTTAAAGTAAATACAGTATTTGAATATATAGTTCTCAAAATGAGACATAAAAGTGATTAATATCATTAGCCATCAGAAAAATCAAAACCACACTGCGTATCAAAACCACAATATTACTTCACAACTAGGATGACTGTAGTCAAAAAGAAATATTTAAAATAAATAAAAGACAGTAAGTGTTGACATTGCTGCTAAGAATGTAAAATGATTAAATTGCTTTGGGAAGCAGTCTGGCAATTTTTCAGTTATACTCAGTTAAACCATCACCAACGAATTCTACTCCTAGAGATATCACCAAGAGAATGGGAACCTGCACACACAAAAACCTGTTCCAGGAGTGTGTATAGCAGGTTTACTCATAAAGTAGCAACAACCCAAATGTCTATCAACTGATGAACGTAAAACAAAACATCATAAAGACACAAAAAACACTGATTCAAAAGACACCTGCACCCCCATGTTTATGGCTGCTTTATTTACAATTGGAAAAACATGGAAGCAGCCCAAATGCCCAAAAGTAGATGACTGGATTAGAAAGATGTGGTACATATATACAATGGAATATTACTCAGCAACCAAAAAAGAGAAACACATGTCTTTTGCAGCAACTTGGATGGAGCTGGAAAAGATCATGCTTAGTGAGATAAGCCAGAAAGAGAAAGAAAAATAAAGGATGGTTTCACTCATAGTAGGAGTATAATGGACCAGGCGAGAAAATAACAACAATAATGAACAGCCATATACCAGAGACATTTTGTGGGGGTGGAGTGGGGAATGGGATCAAATTGGGGATGTGTGCACGGGACTATGGTGATGGCACACAGGTGAACTGCTGATGGGGAAGTCCATGGGGATTATAACTGAGATGGAAAAGGCACAAAATGATATAAAAATAAACTATAATAATAACAACAACAAACCAACAAAGTATCGTCTATCTACATGGTGGAATATTATTCAGCCATAAAAAGGAATGAAGTGCAGTCATGTATCCCTCAGAGATACTTCAGTCAATGATGGGTGGCATACACAGTGGTGGTCCCGACAAGGTATGCCGTGGCGTCTAGGTGTGTTGTAGATGCCCCCATCCAGCCTTGTGTGCTCACCTCTAGGATGCTCACACAATAATGACATCACCTAAAGAGATATATTTCCCTGCATGTATTCCTGTCAACAGGGGAGTGCGGAGGATTGGCAAAGGAAGTTCATGGAGGATGAGTGAGGCACCTGTATGTGACATGGAGCTGTGAAGTTAAAATTATGCAGTTATGTCAATGATTGGCAAATCAATACAATTTGTGGGGGGAAAGAATATATTCTCATCATGACGTGTCCCATGACAGTGTTGCTATGTGCTATGATGACTTGAAAACATTCAACGCAGGTTGCAAAAGCTACCTGTCATATGACTCCATTTATCTGAATTATCCAGAACACCTAAGTCCACAGAGACAAAAAGGAGACTGGTGGTTGCAGAGGCTGGTGCTAAAGGGAGTGGAGAATGAACACAGAGGAGTACATTCCTTTTGGGGGTGATAAATATTTTGGAACAATGTAGTGCAGACGGTGCCACAATCTTGTGAATATATTCAAAATATATTCAAGATTGTACACA